TATTTAGGACATTCTAAGTCTTCTCATTAATACTGTTTAGCGTCCTTTTTCGTTTCTAAGGAACCCTAAGAAAGAAGTAAGGTGCCGATTGACCTCGGTTGCTGTGGAATCATACCCAATGATCTTTAACCTTCTCCAATCCTCAAGTGTAAGGGTCGAAGTTGTAATTACTAATGCCTAAGATCTGGTTGCTAGAAGTTAGAGAAGGAACTGCAAAAATCTCGATTGAAACTTACACTTACTATATTCTTCGAAAAACTATGTAAGTTCGATAGAAAAAGATTTTTTTAAATGATCTTACCACTTAATCGTGTATTCATTTGTATTTGATCATCATTATTTTCATTTTCATTTGTTGGATTGTTTACTACTTCATGTTTTGTAAATAATTTTCTTATACGATTTTGAATTTTTTTCTTAGATGATAAACGTTCATAATCTTCTGGTCGTTTTATTTCATCAGCAACACGTAAAAATACTTGTTCAAGACTACTATTTGATAAACCATAATTTTTTATATGATATTTTGTTTTATTTTCATCAAGATCAGCAAGCATTATTGGAAATATTTTTGTATGTTCAAGATCATCTACTATAATATAAGTTATTTGATTACCATGTTCTTCTTTTACACGAATATCAAACATATATTTTCGAAGAAATTCAGTTAATTTTGAAAAATGTATAGAATTTAAAGAAGAGTTTGTATTAGTTATTAAATTGCTATTATTTTCTTGTTGTTGTTGTCTATATTCATTTTCATCTGTTATTAATTCAATAATTAAATTATAACCTTCACCGTATTTTCGTTTTAAATACATTGTTGTACCAACACATTTTAATTCACCGGACGATATTATTGCTATACGATCACTCAGTAAATCAGCTTCATCAAGATGATGTGTTGATAAAACAATTGTTCGTTTTGGTTTATATTTTAATATAAGATCCCATATTGCTCGTCGAGCAAATGGATCAACACCTATTAAAAGAATTTTAAAAAAAATCTATCTCAAATCAAAATAGTCGTTTGAGGTTCTCTATGAAATGCATTTCATACTGAAATTGCATAAATACACTAAGGGGCGAAGATTTCTGAAAAAATTCATAATGGGTAGACTTCAAATCACATAGGACCGTATGAAAAGATCGCTAAAATTCTCTATTTTGGCAATGATATTATATATTCAATGTCTTATTATTAGTTAACAAAGCAGAGATGTCTATGGCAGCGGCACGCTTTTTAAAAAATTGTCTCAGCAGCTCGCGGTAGCGGCAAATTTTTTAAAAATCATCGCGACAGCGGTAGGTTTTCAGCCGCGCTGAACGTCTCTGCAACAAAGCCTTTTTGAACTTCCATGTAAGATATTTTTGTATACTCGGATTATACTCGCAAATGCTTTGCTTATAGATACCTGCTGTTGGTTCATCTAAAATAACTGTTGTTGAATTTCCAATAAAAGCAATAGCAATTGAAAGTTTTCGTTTCATACCACCAGATAATTCTGTTGAATAATTTTCTGCTTTTTTTTCTAATATTAAATCTTTTAGCATTTTTTCTGTTTCACTTTGAATTAATTCATTTGGTGCATCTTTTAATCTAATCAACATAAAAAATAAAAAAACATAATTTTTTTTCTTTTTCTTATGCAAAAATTATCTTACTTAGAAAAAAATTCTAAATGTTCTTTTACAGTTAATAAATCAAATAAAATATTATATTGTGGAGCAAAACCAAGTCGTTGTCGTACAATTTTTATATCGGTTAATATATTATAACGATCAATATATGCTGTACCAGTTGATGGTGGTATTAAACCAGTTAATATTGACCATGTTGTACTTTTTCCAGCTCCATTTCTTCCAAGAAATGCTGTTATCATATTACGATAAAATTTTATCGATAAATTTTTTAATGCCATTTTATTTCCATAATATTTCGATAAATTTATTATTTCAATACCAATATCACCTAGTTCCTTTTCAACTAAAAAAAAACAGACACACACACACACAAATATGCTTTTATGTTTTAAATAAAAACAAAAAGAAAAAAAAAATTAACCATTTTCATTCTGATTAACTGGAGGTCCCATTTCTTCTGTACGTTGACGAATTTTTTTTGTATCAAAACCAAACCAATAAGTCTTTGTAAAAGGATAATACCATACTTGTGGAATTCCGTATTCACCTAAATATTTGAATAGAAAAAAAAATTCAAAATTATTTATTATTACCGGGAAATACATTTTCAATATAAATAGTTAATAACATATATATAACAGAATCGATTAACATCATTATAATACAATGAAGAAATGTAAAAGTATCATTAGGTTTTATACTTTGATTTATATTAAACCATTGAATACCTTTAGCCATACCTTCAAATCGAGCAATATAATCACAACCAAGTCCAAAAGCAACTGTTGATGAAAGACACTAGAAAAATAAAAATAAAAAAAATATTTATTTAATTTTGTTTTTTCCATTGAAACTTACTGCAATCGTTTTTTGCCATGTTTTTATTTGAGTATCATAATTAATTAAAATAGTATATGGTAAATAGAGAAGAAAATATAAAATTCCAGCTCCTAGAAGATTTAGTTTTTTTGTAATTATAAATACTTAATTTTTAAATAAATACCACAAGCAGCTAAATTAGCTCGATTGAAAAAGACGCTTATTAAAAAACATTGATTAATTGTAGCAAATGTATAAGCAGTAAAAAACAGAAATAATATTAAAATATTTGAAAATTGTGTAATTTTTCCAAACTATAAAAGATATATATTTAAACAAAATAAGTATTATTAATTAGATTAATTTATAATTAACTTTCATCATGATTGAGTGAATATATTTAATTCTTATAGGATTACTACAAATGAGAGATCACTTTCGAAAGAGAACTTATTCAATTCATAATAAATTAGATACTAATTCATTTAATAATTATTATAAGGTTTTATAGATGTGACAGACAAATATGAAGGACATATCAGTTTAATAGTACAATTAACATAGCTTCTACCATCTATGTCAAAATATAATGTGCTTCACTTTATCTTTTTTTTTAGTGACTAAGAAAAACATACACTATATACTTCTTTATTTTAAGGTGATAGTGACATTAACGGATGGTCCACAGCAGAGTTGCAAATGACTACGAATCGATTAATTATATGCATGATACATTTCTCTCGTGAGGGAACCTCCCGAGGTGTCCAACGAGTTTAGGTTTCATCTTTTGGCCATAAGTGGATCTTGATGAGAAATGAAAAAGCTGTAAAAGATCTGAGTCCTTACGGCTTTGTTTCAAAGATATCGAATTGTTAAGAAATGTTCCTCATAGGATCCAAGATTTTCAACAAAATTATATTATCGAATTTTGACCTGAAACTTTGCTTATATCAACCTCTCAACTAGACTAGGTCGTGTACAAAATTTCAGACTTTTCTAACACAGTCTTTAAAAAGTATGAATGTTTCATACAATATCTGTAATAACGACCTATATTGTGAAACATTCATGTTTCTTAGAGATTGTTAGAAAAGTCTGAAATTTTGTACACAACCTAGTCTATTTGAGAGGTTTATATAAGTAAGGTTTTAGATCAAAATTCGATGATACGATTTTGCTGAAAATCTTGGATTCTATAAGGAATATTTCTTAACGATTCAATATCCTTGAAACAAAGCCGTGAGGGCTGAAATCCTTTACAGCTTTTTCATATCTCATCAAGGTCTACATATGGCCAAAAGATAAAGCCTTCACTCGTTGTACACCTTGGGAGGTTTCCTCGTCAGGTTTTTTCAAATAATGTATAGATAGAGTTACGATATGCTTTGCTAGTGTTCAAGGAATCCTTAACCTTTTGCAAAAAATCTGGTCACCATTCTCGTTCAATAATATGTGAACCAAAATTTAGTACGAACAGACTATTTTACATTTTATTTTGAGCTTTTAAATATTGTTGAGAATCTATCTAATAAACTTCATGCACTATGAACACTTTATCAAAAAGAAATCTCTAGCTGTTAACATTTCAAATAGAGAATTTCAATTGAATCCAATTATTGTCATTAGAAACATATCACCAATCCTATTCAGATGATTATGCTTCTCATCATTTTTTTTTTGAAAAAGTATAGCCGATTAAAGTATTCCATTTATCACGAGATAAAACATTTCGAACCAATTAAAAACAAAAGAAATCACGCCATCACTCTTGGCTTATAACGCATACTCTTAAAACATATTTAGAATCCGAGAAAGAATGACAGAAAACAAAAAGGCGACGAAAGGTCAAGATTGTTATGCGTCTACTTTTTTCTGTCTCTCTGCTTCACCTGTCAATTTACTATAGAACGAAAAATATACGACCTACAATAAAATTACAAATGTACTTAAAAATGACTCATTCATGGAATTTTTACAAACATATTATATTTTTGTAAAATAACTTAAGAATTAAATATTTTTCTAACATAAAAATAGAGAAAGATTATAAATAACGAAGATAAAAAATATCCACATGAGGTGAAGATCAATATTTTTTTGTCTTCGAATACTTGGAAAATACCAAATTAGAGTATAGTTTATCATATAAAATGGTATACTTTGCTATTTTTATTACACAAAAGAAGAATGATAATGAAATATCAATTCAATTTGAAACATTTGGTTTTACATTTATTTCTTCTTCGATATGTATTTACTTCAACAGAAACTATGGTATGCTATAATCGTGATGTGATCCTTCATGTTTATCAACAAAATCAAATGACGAACATATAATTCTAAGTGGAATAAATCTTCTAGCTACACCAACGTTACAACGTCTACAAGCATTCATGGATGTTTATCGTCATTTGTCGACGTTCGATATTAAATGGGATACCAATTTAATTGCCATTCCAGAAGCATCACATGAACAAATTCAAGATTTAATTTGAAGAAAATCAGATTATCCAAAAGTACAACAAGCATTACGACCAATGGAATTTGGTAATGGTCCGTACTTAGAAATTACAATCGAAGATCATCAAAGTGATAAATATGCACATGTCATACTTGCACATGGACGAACAAAAACCGGTTCACGGCGAGTAGCCATATGTGAATTTCGACAGTGTAGTAGTCTCAGTGCAGGTGGTCTCTTAGGAACTATGGTCGTGTGTGGTGTTATTGGTCATATAAATCCGGCAGCTGGTATTCTGACTTTTATAGCAAAAGTAGCAGCTGACTATGCTATATCAAAACAAGATGTATCTGTTGTTGTAGCCATTAAAGAACTTGTACGCGCCGGTTTTCTGAGAATGGATGAGACAACTATGCAAATTCAATTAGGATAATATATAAGCAATTATTTATTTCGCATATCTTCTCTTCTTGTAATCATATTTTCATTAATAGTCATGATAAAATAAAAGTTCTGATTAACATCTATTGAATGAATGACTGTATATTTTGTAGAACTCACCACGAAAATAATGAGTGTAAGTTTGTATCAAAACTCATCTTGCTCTTCCATTCCTTAGAATCAGAGAAAGCGAAAATTGATCGAGAAATTCATAATAAAAAAAAAGAGCTTCAACTGAAACGAATAAACTAAAACATTACAAAAAGAAAACGGAAGATGCCATTACCAAAATATAGATCACTACAGCGAAGCATATGCTTTTCTGATACATGTAGCATATGAAATAGAATTTCTTTTCAAAATTAATACTGTTAGATTTATTGATTTTCATGAAATTATATGAAAATAATTCTGATATAAATGTGAAAACAAGAAAAAAGCATTTCGAGAATGCGGTGCGAATGAGAGTATCGATATGGTTGTCAGTGTCAGTGTTGGTATAGCTGCAGGTGCGAGTGTGGGTAAGTATGTGATAGAGTTCAAGAAGATTCACTTCAATACCCGTGCTCCTTCTTTATTTTTATATTTTCTCCCTCTTTAAATCAATTGTTCCGGAGAAAGCTCGGCGTCTACTTTACTTGTACATGGTACTAACACAAAAAAACTTTAAGTACTATAGACAACTTACAAAACTAATATTTTTTTTATTTTTCACACTGCTGATGATTTTGTTAAAAAATTCTTTTTGTGCTTCTCGACTATTTCTCACTTCGACCAATTTTCGTAGACCCTTTTAAAATAACGCACATGAAAAGTTAACTTATATTAGCTGAAAGTTTTTAAATGAAATATTTGTATATTATATTAAGATGAAAGTGTTTTACACAAGTGAGAAGCTCTAAATAAAACTTAAAACATTCTGTTTCTGTTAAATTTCAGGACAAAATTTTCCTATTTGTAATTGAATGAACATGATGATCACAATGTTTGCCATGATTAAAAATTTCTTGAAGATTAGCAAAGTTCATAGTGCATGTTTTTTATTATTCAATAAAAGATAAACAATGATTCTTAATATCTTGATCTCTAATTAACTATTTCAGACTCTACTAAAGTCTCTATATCGATTGTTTTCATAGACTTACCTTTAAAAGTAGAACAAGTATAAATGCTGTTAATATCATAATAGTTGTACATAAAATAAACCATGTAAACCAATGAACAGAATCTTGTAAACCCATAATTTTCATTATTTCTTTTAATCGTCTTTAAAACAAAACAAATGTAATTTTATTATATTCTTTTTTTTTTCTTTTTACATTATCTTACTTTTCTTTTTCACATACAATATCTTTAACATTCATTGATACTGTAAATATCCAACTTAATACCATTATTAATGGTAACATTCGATTAATAGAATTAACAAATCTAATATAAATAAACGATTTTATTAATTTAAAAGAAATCCAAAATATCTTTTTACTTATCATTAATCCAACATGGATAAGGCATTTGTTGTGTTTGTACACCATATGCTACATTTTTTCCTGTATGTAAATAAATTATAGCACGTTCAATAGCATTTTGTAAATAAATAAATGCATATGTATGATATTTTGTTGACGATGGTGCACGAGCTCGAGGTGCATATGAAAAATATCTATGGAAAAAAACCAAGAATAGAAATTTCTAAAATTATTTTTTGTTTTTTGTATTTTACCGATCTTCAGTTTGAAATGTATTATCAACTTGATCAAGTGTCATTCGTATTTTAAATTGAATATGTTTTGGTAAACTATCATTATTTGTAATATCATTCATAAATTTAATAGAAGCTAAGAAATTATTTGTTTGAGATTTATCTTGTCCTTCACGTATCATATCTAATTCAGTATTCATTGCTATAAAACGATTAAGTTCTGAACAAGCAATAAATTCTGTTAAAATAGTTAAAAAATTTATTGATGTTTTATATTTTGGTAATTGTTCACAAATAAATGATGAATTATCAAAAAATATATTACAGATTATATGAAATATATTATATGTTGGTTGAATTATTAATCTCATTTGACGAAATAATCGAACAAATTCATCTAATGATTCAAATGTATGATTAATTTGTTTTATTATATTATCATAATGAATATTTGATGGATGATAATATATTTTTCCATATAAAATAGGACGTACAATTGTTAAAAATTGTTTTAATATAGGATTTGAATATAATACGTCATCAAATAAAATACAACGACATGAACGACTAACTGTTATTGTTTGTGTTGTACTACCAGAACCAGTTATATATGATTGTTCACACATTTCAGATTCATCAAATGAAAGTAAATCTATTGCTAAATTATTCCAATCAATACCAAATAAAGATTCATCAGTTGTTGTACGTGTTTGATCATTTTGAGTTTGTTTATTTGTAGTTTTTGCAGATTGATTTTGATTAGAATATTGTGAAAGATCGTTACGGCCACCACATATTGTGTTTAAACTAAAGATTGAATATTATAAAAAAACAAAAATTTAGTGGAATTAAAGAAAACAATATCAAAATCATTTTTTAGCAATGTGACTTCACAAACCAGGACATCGACTTTCATTTCCTGTATTTTAGTTTAAAAGAAAAACTTCGAATTGAACCAAAACACAATAGTACATTCTTATAGACAACTTCTGAGGTTACATGAATTTCGGCTCGGTCCGAATGTTCAGTGACTTATCGGTCTGGACCCAATTTCATCTCATCAATCCTTTAAAAGAAGCCATATTTCTATAACTAGTCGGTACACTTCGTAATGCTGAGCACTACATTGTCCTGCTCAACACTACAGAATGTGTTAACTATTGATTGAAGTTAAACTATTTTTTATGAAGAGCGATGAGATGAATTTCGTGCCGAAAATTCCTTGGGTCGAAATTCTGGCCTTCCAACTTCAGAGACTAAAAATCTCTATCTAAAGTTTTTCCTGATTTTTTTTCAAAAAAAAAATCGATTTATTTTTGTACAAGTAAACAATAGAGACTTCAGTCTTGAAATCTTTAAGTTTTCAAGACCATTGCTTATCCAATGGATGAAATTTGTTTGAGATTTTTATATTTAATATGACCAGTATGAATTGTGGTTATTTTCATCAAATTTTTTAAAAAAAATCTTTCAGGCCGTCTTCGGTTCACGCCTGTACTCCCCCACGAGAGTGGTGAAGTAGCATTTTGATTAATATCGTGGGAGAGTACGGATGTGGATCAAAATTCGATTGAGAGTTGTTGCTAAATCAATCTTTTAAAATATTAATAGGAACCATTTCTAACTTGATTTCAACATGGAAAATTGAAATATTTTGCGAATCGCAAAAGGGCATTATTCGCCCTCCTTCTTTTTAGAAATGAAGTAGTGTTCCAAAGATCCATCAGGTTCCCTATGTAAGTGAACTTATTAGAATGGAATTATTCAAAAATTAAGAAACTTGAAAAAATTGTATTTTATAAAGTACGGTGGGCCTGAAAAGATGAAGCTATAGCTTTTGTGAAATACGATCTAAAAGAAATATTGAAGTATAGGGTAGAAATTAGGATCATGCTCCATATAATTAAAAGATATTCTAAAACTTTTGAATATTTTTATCGTATGGTTAGCGAGAATATTTGCGAATTATTTTGTAATTTATAGTCAGCTGAAAGAGTCAACATTGTTGCATATGTCTATACTAAAAGAACTTATTCAGAAAAATAACCCTTCTAAAAAATCAAAGTCAAATGGAAGAGATGGGTATGTCCCGTTTTGCCTGGAATAGTCCATATATGGAGAACTTCTAGATTGGAATTGATTCTATAAATCTTCTCTCTACAAGTACGACAATTGTGCTAGATCCAGAAGAAGGAAAATTAAACAAAAAGTTTCTGACTTGAAATTTTGTCTATAGATGGTAGGTATCATGATCCAAAGAGTACCCTAAAAATTTTCAATCAAAGTGATTGTTTCTTCTTCTTGAAATCTTCGAAAACTATCGACTTTTCTTTTCGTCATTTGTGAAATCTTATTGATTTTTGAATATTGAATATTTTCAAAAAGGAAACAATTACTTTCACGGAAACTCTTTATTCAATTTCCCTTTCTCTGATAAAAAAATCCAACAAAACTGTCGTAACTCTACAAAGAAGGCTTCTAAGTCCGAATGATTTTAAGATTATTTTAGTTGAGATGTTTTCTCTATATGATCAAAATATGAACTCAACAATGAGGAATCACTTCGGCGATTTCTTTGTCAGTAATCAGTACTAAATATAGCAGTAATGTGCTTATTAACTCCTAATCTACAAAAGAAAACTCTTCTTTTTTTTGCATATTATGATCGAAGGAAATCCGAAATAGATTTATGAGGAGTTGCCGTTGTGAAAGATTTCGAAATAAACTCCAAAAGTATAAATAATCGATGAACTATTCTATAGTAATATTAATTCTTTGCCACGAAATGAAGCATCATGGCTGTATTTTGCAAGTTTTTTACGACCAGTCCCTCCTCAAAACTCGATTTTGGGTTAGATTCACTTAAATCACGTGAAATTTTCAGAATATGTTAGGACAATAGTGAATAGACTATGCTAAAATCTTCATCCTTATATTATGATGTTTCCGGAAGATATTCAATATAAACAACGCTCCAAAATTGCTCATTTGGCAATTCGAAATTCTCTGTGAGCCTTCATCATTCCATGAATTTAATTTCTTTTTCATTTAAAAGAGCATGTCAGACTGCAGTGCTTGACAGAGTGCTTCTTTTTGAATTTTGAATTTTAATGCACAAGAAAAAAAGATGACAACTTCAATAGCTTGAATAATTGTCAAAATAAAAATTGTCATTTAATTATTTATAGAAGTATATTTTAATATAATAATAAAAAAAGATTAATTCAAAAAATTGGATCTGTCAGGTGTGATCAGAAAACATATAGACTGAGAAAAAAGATTTTCCATTT